ATACGGGAGACCATTTCCTTCATACATGCAGAACTATTTGTACATATAGGAGACCATTTCACACATATGCAGAACTATTGGTACATATAGGAGACCATTTCCTACATAAGAGACACTGGAGTATAGGAGTACACACAGGCGCAGGTCCATATGACACTTTGTCTGACACACTTACATCTAGGTGTAAGTTTAATACAAAATCCAAATCTGAAAATAGATATGTAGAATCGAAACAATAATGAAATGACAATAGGGACTTTAAAAAACAATATCTCCTAAAAAACAGGCAGTAATCCTGGCCAAAATGTATGTGTGGAAACTCCTAAAAACATATGCAAACTGAAGACAGTATCTTTCTCTGAAAACTTAACGTACTGTTATTGTTCACAGTTCGGATGCTTTGTCCCTCAAAATATGAAATCACGCGCATTTTCTCCTTGGAAATGTATAATTTTGTGTTCAGATGTCTATGGTCGAGTGATCTGTTCGTACAACGCTGTTGCTCCAGTCTGTACCATGCAAAACTGGCTACATTTTTCACACAACATTTATTTACATGAATTACGAAAATCAGATAAAGGGTCACATGGGGTTTCATGGGAGTTTGTGGCCTATGCCAAACCCAGCGTGTCGTGCTAGTACCTACTGTATATCAAACGTCTTCATGATATGTTACACGCTAGAGTTGGGCACGACTGTACTACAAACAATGCAGAACTATTTGTACATATAGGAGACCATTTCATACAAATATGCAGAACTATTAGTACATATAGGAGACCATTTCCTACATACATGCAGAACTATGGGTACATATAGGAGACCGTTTCCTACATATGTGCAGAACTATGGGTACATATAGGAGACCATTTCCTACATATATGCAGAACTATGGGTACATATAGGAGACCATTTCCTACATATATGCAGAACTATGGGTACATATAGGAGACCATTTCCTACATATATGCAGAACTATGGGTACATATAGGAGACCATTTCCTACATACATGCAGAACTATGGGTACATATAGGAGACCATTTCACACGTACATGCAGAACTTAGGGTACATATAGGAGACCATTACCGACATGTATGCAGAACTATGGGTACATGTAGGAGACCATTTCCTACATATATGCAGAACTATATATGGGTACATGTAGGAGACCATTTCAGACTTATATGCAGAACTATATATGGGTACATGTAGGAGACAATTTCCTACATGTATGCAGACCTATGGGTACATATAGGAGACCATTTCAGACATATATGCAGAACTGTTGGTACATATAGGAAACCATTTCCTACATATATGCAGAACTATGGGTGCATATAGGAGACCATTTCCTACATGTATGCAGAACTATGGGTACATATAGGAGACCATTTCACACATATATGCAAAACCATAGGTACATGTAGGAGACCATTTCCTACATATATGCAGAACTATGGGTACATATAGGAGACCATTTCACACATACGCGGAACTATGGGTAGACATAGGAGACCATTTCACACATATATGCGGAACTATGGGTACATATAAGAGTACTTCACACATATGCAGAACTATGGGTACATATCGGAGACCATTTCACACATATATGCAGAACTATGGGTACATATAGGAGACCATTTCATACATATATGCAGAACTATGGGTACATATAGGAGACCATTTCACTCATATATGCAGAACTATTTGTACATATAGGAGACCGTTTCCTTCATATATGCAGAACTATTTGTACATATAGGAGGCCATTTCCTACATATATGCATAACTATGGGTACATATAGGAGACCATTTCACACATATATGCAGAACTATGGGTACATATAGGAGACCATTTCCTTCATATATGCAGAACTATGGGTACATATAGGAGACCATTTCACACATATGCAGAACTATGGGTACATATAGGAGACCATTTCCTACATAGGAGACACTGGAGTATAGGAGTACACACAGGCGCAGGTCCATATGACACTTTGTCTGACACACTTACATCTAGGTGTAAGTTTAATACAAAATCCAAATCTGAAAATAGATATGTAGAATCGAAACAATAATGAAATGACAATAGGGACTTTAAAAAACAATATCTCCTAAAAAACAGGCAGTAATCCTGGCCAAAATGTATGTGTGGAAACTCCTAAAAACATATGCAAACTGAAGACAGTATCTTTCTCTGAAAACTTAACGTACTGTTTTTGTTCACAGTTCGGATGCTTTGTCCCTCAAAATATGAAATCACGCGCATTTTCTCCTTGGAAATGTATAATTTTGTGTTCAGATGTCTATGGTCGAGTGATCTGTTCGTACAACGCTGTTGCTCCAGTCTGTACCATGCAAAACTGGCTACATTTTTCACACAACATTTATTTACATGAATTACGAAAATCAGATTAAGGGTCACATGGGGTTTCATGGGAGTTTGTGGCCTATGCCAAACCCAGCGTGTCGTGCTAGTACCTACTGTATATCAAACGTCTTCATAATATATTACACGCTAGAGTTGGGCACGACTGTACTACAAACAGTGGAGATCGTTTCCGATATGTTCTAGTAAATCCTAGTGATCCTTGTGTTCTTGCAATAAACACAATGAAAAAGGTCATTTATACTAAACGAATTGATTTCGTTAATAAATTCAATCATTTTACAGGTTCTATTTCCATACATGCAATTTTAATGGGGAATTAAGTGAATGTTTCAAAACTAGCTGCGCAATATTTGATATCGAACATGAATAAGTAGACATAGGAACACATTTTATTGCGTTTATTGTCATCAAGATACATACATTTTAACAAGTAATGTGTATCCCTCCACTGCATTCCCACTCATGAAATATCAACTGACAAAAAAAGAAAGATTATCCCTGCATATATCTGTATCAATTTGTAATTAATATCCTTGTATCTGTAATGTTGGGGTTTTGTTTGTATATCCAATGGTTAGGGGTATGCTTGCATGGACTAGTAAGGCATCAATGTGTAAGGTACAGCCTTGTATCTTGTTACTCATACAGACTCTGACACAACAATATCAGAAATTTCAAAGGCAAAGCTACAAAACTTTGGCGAGTTTAGATTTCTTCAGTTTCACCAGTTTCATCTCTGGGTTCCTTTCTATGACATATCATATAGACAGCTTAACACAATCAATCTTAACATAGTTTCATTTTAGGTAAGGTACTTGCTTTTATATCTACTGGTTAGATAGATTATTGCATTTGTTTGTAATGCTGTTGCTAAGGAAAGGTAAGTTACATGTGTATACCCAGTGGTAAGATGTCTATTCGATTGTATATCTCCATCTACTGGTGTGACGTGTATCTACTGGTAAGGTATTTCATTGGTATGACACATGCATGTGTCTACTGGTTATATATATGTATGTATTTTTTATAATGATTTAATGGTTTATCTACCAGTAAGTATTCAGAGGTAGACTAGTGTCTTCGGGTAAACTACATTGTTGTATTCATTATAATGTGTATAATTATCTACGGTGTAGTATTTATAAAAACTGGTTTGTGTCTACTGGTGATATATATATTTGTGTCAACTGGTATATATAAGCATATACCTTATATATATATATATCTACTTTTAATATATATGTTTGTGTCTACTAGTAATATGCATGTTTGTATCTACTAGTAATATGCAATTTTGTATCTACTAGTAATATACATATAAGTGTCTACTGGTATATATAAGCATATACCTCATATATATCTATTTGTAATATACATGTTTGTGTCTACTAGTAATAAGCATTTTTGAGTCTACAAGTAATATGCATGTTTGTATCTACTAGTAATATCATGCATTTTCGTATCTACTAGTAATGTGCATTTTTTAATCTACTAGTAATATGCATGTTAGTGTCTACTGGTATATATAAGCATATACCTCATATACATCTACTGGTAATATGCATGTTTGTGTCTACTAGTAATAAGCATTTTTGTGTCTACTAGTAATATGCATGTTTGTATCTACTAGTAATATGCATCTATGTATCTACTAGTAATATACATGTTAGTGTCTACTGGTATATATAAGCATATACCTCATATATATCTACTGGTAATATACATGGGTTTTTTGTCTACTAGTAAAATGCATGTTTGAATCTACTAGTAATACATATTTCTGTGTCTGATGGTAATATAAAAAAAATTGTCTGCTGGTAATGTATATGTTTGTGTCTACAAGTGATACATATGTTTGTATCTACTGTTGAGGTATAAGGTTGTATCTAGTGTTAAGCTAATGCCTGTATCTACTCACAATATATATAGCTGTACCTACTGGTAAGGTATATGATATCATCTACTTATAAGGTAATATCTAATGTAATGTATTTTGAATATCTAATGGTAAGGTATATGTGTCTCTATTAGTTACACATAATCTTGTATTTATGAATAGATATGTGCAAAAGCAACCGGTGAAATGTATGCTTGTTTGCACATGTAAGCTATATTGCCCCTATTAGTTAGATATGTGCTTGAATTTGCGAATAGACATATGCTTTAGTCAGCACGTGAGACATATGCTTGTTGTGCACTTGTAAGGTATATGCGCCCCTATTGGTTAGATATAAGCTTGTATTTGTGAACAGATATATGCCTTAGTCAGCCAGTGAGATAAATGCTTGTTGCGCACTTGTATCTGCCAGCTATATATTTGTATACTACTAATTAAGTACACTTGTATCTACAAGTTAGTGAACACCCACGCGCGCCTCCTCCAAGAAGGGATAACTCACTAATTAACCGAAGAAAGGGAAACGAAAGGTTTTACAGTCGGTCCCGAGGACACACCTGCGGAACTAGTCAGCCTGCTGGATACAATGGCGAGATTAGCATGCTGGAACATAATGGAATCCCCCAAGACTTCCCAGATATCGCCCCGCTTTCTCCTACAAGCACTTTGCTTCGTCTCGCCAGATAACTGTATCCGATACTCCAGTTTTACGCAATTTAAATTGGTGCTAGTGTCGTGTTATCTGAAGGCGATTCCTCGTGTATAAACATTCCCAAACCTCGCGATATGCACGTCACATGATACGGTCACGTGACTCCGCCTCTGAGAGATGTCGTTCTAACAGTATGCTGGAATGGTCAGACTCAGAAGACAAGCGTGCAACAGACAGAACGGGCTTGAAACAGACGAACTGAAAAGCTGACCAACTCCCCGACACACGACCTGTCAGACAGAGACTGGCTACCGAAGGCGGGTTGAGGCGCCTTTCGCTGATTCATGAATGACTAGTGGGGTCGTGGTACACACGGTCGAATCCCCGTAGGACGTCTGACACCTGTGGTGGCTTGAAGAGAATGAGGATGGGGACACGATTGTGATCTTCTAATGTAACAGACGTGTATAGGGTAGCCTGATGTGTTTTTCAAAAGATCTATATTGTTTGTGCAGGCCGGTATTACAATGATATATGTGAAAGCACAGGTGTGGTAACTCGGAGTCGATTTAGGTAATCTTCTTCCATGTGTGCTATGTGACGGGGAGGAAGAGGTTGACAGACAGCAAGTCGTCACGATGCCGAGGCGCAGAAAGGAGGATGTCAACTGTGACGCGAAGCATGGGAAAATGGGGAAACCCATCCAAAGAAACGCAGCCAATGCACGAGAAAGAGCTCGCATGAGGGTGCTGAGTAAAGCTTTCTCCAAACTGAAAACCACCCTACCGTGGGTACCCGCGGACACTAAACTGTCAAAGCTGGACACTCTCCGCCTGGCGTCGAGTTATATCGCCCACCTGCAGCAGATTCTGGACGCAGAGGATGTTGAGACTCAGCAACAACTCATCCATCCTCTTAACCTGGTAGGTCATTCATAAATCATCCACAATTTAATCTTTGTAGCTCACACATCCTTCGTCCACCCCTTAACCTGTTTGGCTTCCAACCTTCGTCCACCCTCCTAATCTAGTGAGTCATTCATCCTTCGTCCACACTCCTAATCAAGTGAGTCATTCATCCTTCGTCCACACTCCTTATCTAGTGAGTCATTCATCCTTCGTCCACACTCCTAATCTACTAGGTCATTCATCCTTCGTCAACGCTCTTAATCTAGTAGTCCATCAATCTTTCGTCCACCCTCCTAATCTAGTAGTTCATTCATCTTTCGTCCACCCTCCTAATCTAGTAGGTCATTCATCCTTCGTCCACACTCCTAATCTAGTGAGTCATTCAACCTTCGTCCACACTCCTAATCTAGTGAGTCGTTCATCCTTCGTCCACACTCTTAATCTACTAGGTCATTCATCCTTCGTCAACGCTCTTAATCTAGTAGTTCATACATCTTTGGCCCACCCATCTAATCTATTAGGTCATTCATCCTTCGTCCACACTCCTAATCTAGTGAGTCATTCATCCTTCGTCCACACTCCTAATCTAGTGAGTCATTCATCCTTCGTCCACACTCCTAATCTACTAGGTCATTCATCCTTCGTCAACGCTCTTAATCTAGTAGTTCATCCATCTTTCGCCCACCCATCTTATCTATTAGGTCATTCATCCTTCGTCCACACTCCTAATATAGTGAGTCATTCATCCTACGCCCACCCTCCTAATATAGTGAGTCATTCATCCTTCGTCCACCCTCCTAATCTAGTAGTTCATTCATCTTTCGTCCACCCTCCTAATCTAGTAGTTCATTCATCTTTCGTCCACCCTCCTAACCTAGTAGGTCATTCATCCTACGCCCACCCTCCTAATCTAGTGAGTCATTCATCCTTCGTCCACACTCCTAATCTAGTAGTTCATTCATCTTTCGTCCACCCTCCTAACCTAGTAGGTCATTCATCCTACGTCCACCCGTCTAATCTAGTAGTTCATCTATCTTTCGCCCACCCACCCAATATAGTGAGTCATTCATCCTTCGTCCACACTCCTAATCTAGTAGGTCATTCATCCTACGTCCACCCTCCTAATCTAGTAGTTCATTCATCTTTCGTCCACCCTCCTAACCTAGTAGGTCATTCATCCTACGTCCACCCTCCTAATCTAGTGAGTCATTCATCCTTCGTCCACCCTCCCTAACCTAGTAGGTCATTCATCCTACGTCCACCCTCCTAATCTAGTAGTTCATCCATCTTTCGTCCAACCACCTAATCTAGTGAGTCATTCATCCTTCGTCCGCCCTCCTAACCTTGTAGGTCATTCATCCTGCGTCCAGCCTCAAAACCTAGTAGGTCGTTCATCCTTCATCTACCCTCCTAACTTAGTAGGTCGTTCATCCTTCATCTACCCTCCTAACTTAGTAGGTCGTTCATCCTTCATCTACCCTCCTAACTTAGTAGGTCATCCATCCTTCATCTACCCTCCTAACTTAGTAGTTCATTTATTCTTCATCTACCCTCCTAACTTAGTTGGTCGTTCATCCTTCATCTACCCTCCTAACATAGTAGGTCACTTGTCCTTCATCTACCCTCCTTACCTAGTAGGTCATTCATCCTTCATCTACCCTCCTAACTTAGTAGGTCATTCATCCTTCATCTACCCTCCTAACTTAGTAGGTCGTTCATCCTTCATCTACCCTCCTAACTTAGTAGGTCGTTCATCCTTCATCTACCCTCCTAACCTGGTAGGTCATTCATCCTTCGTCCACCCACTTAACCTGTTGGGCACTTCAATGGTCATTCATACACCTCTAAACCTGGTAGGTCATTCACCATTCATCCACCCCAAACAACTGATATGCCTCTCTCATTTGAGTATCCCTCTACAACTGGTATAAATTGCCCTATCATTGACAGAATGTTGGTTTACGTTTTCCCTAGACTGTGTATCCCCTGAAAAAGAAATAGGTCATTCCAGTCCCTTCACATAGTTTTATCTATTTTCTCCTTACAGCCCACAGTCCCGTTACTCCATACCTCTCTGACAGATCATTATCCCATTTAGGGACCATCCATTTGTTATTCTGGGTGTTGGTGTGAGGCTGTGGTTAGGGGTTTGGCGGAGGGCTAGCAATCTTTTTCTTGGGGGAGGAGGGGTCGGTAGAACCTCCGTCCCTTATCTGGTTGTTAGTCGTCCATATTTTGGTATATTCTCAATTCTTTCAGCAAAAAATATTCCCTGCATATCTTTTGCATTATTCATCTTTTTTATTCATTTTCCTGCCGACTTTTTCATATTATTTTTAAAGGTTTTTTTTTTTCGTTTATTTAATTATTCCCTTTATTTTCGGTAGATTATTTTAATATTTGTTTATTTGCATTTGTCCTCATTTAATTGTCAGCGATTGACTGTAATTATCAACTAAACTGTTTGGTAAATATTTTACTGAACACTTTAAAACGTTTCTGTTAGAATATATTATTTATGTTTAAGTATTCCTTACTGTTTTCTCACATTACTTCCTTATTTTTCTATAATAATATTTCCTTAGCTGCTTGTAGATTATGTTCTCTGCTTACTTGATTAAGAACCCGCGCCTTCTGGATATTTTTCATCTTAATCCTTGTATTGTTGGGCTCATGCTCGTGTACATTATGATAGATGTGTTGACTCTGTGTATCACGTGGAAAAGTTGTGTTTGTTCACATTCTGTTTTAGTTCCTGTGTATCATGTAAAGTAATATTTCTGTTTGGGTAAGCCCAGTGTCTCATGTAAGCTCTCTGTCTCATGTATATTATCCATTGTATTTCTCTTTGGTCGAAGTTGTATATATTATTATTCTAAAAATGGTTTTGAAGGTCTTGTCCTTCGTTAAGATTATTCCTCCTTCTTTCTGTAGATTCTTATTGTTTGTGTTTATATTTCTTTTTCAAAAGTCCCCTGTCTCAAACACCTTCTGCTTCATATATGTGTTTTGTTTAGCCATATGGTTTAAGCAGATTATATTTGCAATTCCTGTTTCGATAAGCCCTGGGTCTCATTTAAGATTATTTTTCCAAATTCCTGTTGTGGTATGAGACCTGTTTCCCATATAGAGTTTTCGGTATTTTCCGGGTTTTTATGTGAAGTATTTTTCATGGTTGGCATGGGATGTAGCTTGTTACGCCTGCCTTTATGTAGATGGATACCTCCTGGAACGTTACACGTCACATGTGTTGCCTACATGAAAACATTCTTTATGAATATACATTTAACGTTCACAGTGTTCACATCCATCGAAGCTATTCGTGTCTCCAAAGCTGTATCTCAGTATTAACTGAGGTTGAAAACGGGGACATCTCACACTGCAACCTGTGAGGCAGGAACAAACTGATCATATACACTGCAGACAGTGTCCCCAGCTACGACCCTCAAATCACACTAAACACTACCACTGACATAAACTGTGACTTACACAGGATTACATACACTGGATGACAACCGTCCACTACCCTTATTCTTACCTTGGACAGTTGTGCTATGTTGTCCTAACCAAGGCATATATGTGCAATACAACAGTTAACTCGGGACATACAAATAACACACAATAGCTAACTTCATGAAGGCCAGCGGGAAACCAAGGGTGCAACAGTGTTTCATGCAGAATGCCATATACCATTTAACCCGGGATATACCAGAATGTCATACATCATTTAGCCCGGGATATGCCAGAATGCAATAAACCATTTAACCCGGGATATACCATAATGCCATACACCATTTAACCTGGGATATACCTAGAATGCAATACACCATTTAACCCTGGATATACCATAATGCCATACATCATTTAGCCCGGGATATGCCAGAATGCCATACACTATTTGACCCGGGATATACCAGAATGTTATACACTATTTAACCCGGGATATACCATAATGCCATACATCATTTAGCCCGGGATATGCCAGAATTCCATACACTATTTAACCCGGGATATACCAGAATGCCATACACTATTTAACCCGGGATATACCATAATGCCATACATCAATTAGCCCGGGATATGCCAGAATGCCATACACTATTTAACCCGGGATATACCAGAATGCCATACACTATTTAACCCGGGATATACCAGAATGTCATACACTATTTAACCCGGGATATACCATAATGCCATACATCATTTAACCCAGGATATGCCAGAATGCCATACACCATTTAACCCGGGATATACCAGAATGTCATACACTATTTAACCCGGGATATACCATAATGCCATACATCATTTAGCCCGGGATATGCCAGAATGCCATACACTATTTAGCCCGGGATATGCCAGAATGCCATACACTATTTAACCCGGGATATGCCAGAATGTCATACACCATTTAACCCGGGATATGCCAGAATGCCATACATCATTTAGCCCGGGATATGCCAGAATGCCATACACTATTTAACCCGGGATATGCCAGAATGCCATACACTATTTAACCCGGGATATGCCAGAATGCCATACACTATTTAACCCGGGATATGCCAGAAAGCCATACACTATTTAACCCGGGATATTCTAGATTTCCAAACTACATTTTTACACGGGATACACATTAATGCCTTTCAACATTTAACCGGGATATACCAGAATGTCATACACTATTTAACACGGGATGTACCAGAATGTCGTACACTATTTAACCCGGGATATACCATAATGACAACACAACATTTAATCTGTTCCATAACATCGGAAATTTTTTTTTGAGGAGATAAATGTATTGTGTAATCAAATATTCCATAGCTTTTATGTTAATATACGTGTACTAGAAGATCACACAACAGTTAACACGGGGTATATAGAATATATCATACGAACATGTGTGTCATACTGATTTTACAAAACGTGTGTCAGAATTATTGTTTTTCCGACAGGGAGCGAGAGTGACTGTAATACATGAATTCTTACACGAGTTTCGAAACATCCGTATGACACAC